ATAGGAAGGATTTTTGTGAGTTGAAAAGCTGCTAGGTTGAAAGCCAAACCACATGAAGAGATGGAGGCGGTTCCAAACAAAAGCAGCTCGCCACCTATCCTTCATAGGATTTCCTTCATAGTGGCGATACGATTATTGCTCGATTTATTGTTGCCACGTGTCTTTAATAACAAATCGAACCCTACATAATTCCTACAATCGACTGGTTTCTTCCTAATTAAGCTGAATTGTAAATTTTTTGCAGAATAAATTCCTATAAATATGTCTCAATAATCAATAAAAATATGGTAACAAATTAAAATATAGAAGAGCTCAATAGTTCTTGATTTATCAAGTCATTGTACTCCATATAATACATATTCTTGTTTAGCTCAAAGGTTATACCGGATAAAGGGATATTTACTATTCCTTTAAGGCTTTGCACTATAGAATTAATGATTTGCTAATCCATTTGAAGCATGTATGATTAGAAAAGGGGTAGATGTGTAATATGTTAAAAAGAAAGACAGACAAAGAACATCAATGAGGGGGAGGTAAAGGATCGCAGCTCGTTACATATCTCGTGGCGCATGTATTAGCTATTATCTTTGCCTTCGATCTGGCCATGAGTTGGGATATGGGCTATGACCTGCTTCCTAGTTCCAAAGGTTAAGTTCTTTCCTTTCCTTCCTGGTGTCAAAAGTTGAGTTCTTTTCGTTCCTTCCATAGTCCTTCAAAGGATGAAGCTCTGGGAAAAGAGCTTCCAACAACCCAGAAAAGGAGATGAGAAAAATGCATGATTTGGCTACTGGAGTAGTAACTGGCAATCTATTAATTGATATAATATTGGCTTTCTCGCAGCCCTGACAACTTGAAAATACGGAAGTGACTGGCCTCACATCTCTTCTTTCTGAGCAGAGTCAACCCTGCGTTGCGCAGTTCGCAACGGCACGTTGAGAGATCCTCAACGCACGCTGTATGGGCGGAGACGCAGACGGCTCGAGCATGCGAGTGTGAATGTTCGCGCGAGAGAACGTGTCTAATCGGGCGAAACTGCGCAACGTGGCCGTTGAAAGAACTGCGCAACGCAGGGTTGACTCTGCTCAGGAGTCAATGCCTCTTAATCTGTTGACTGTAAGATTTCATCAAAGCCTGGGCAGAAATCCACAATGAGCTTCGTTTTTGGAATCATCATGCTCGTGGTAGCGGCCCCTCCTGCCATCACACGACCTCTCGCCCAGTTGAGACTTAGATCTAGAAACTGAATGGGGCACCTACCCAGATATGAGAGCCATTGAACAGGGCAGCAACCCCTCTAGAACTTTATGTATTCATGAATTTGTTTATCTGAAATCTAGAAATGAATTAGGGTTTTGGAATCAGGCGAAGCAACTCTTCGTGGCTAAGGGTCTCAGAGTTCGCTGGCTTGCGTTCTGCGACCCCCGTTCAACGGTTCGTTTGGTAACAAATTCAGATCTCTTCTGAATGTGGTTGGCAAAATCTTTGATTTCCTCTACGGCACCAGTTGAAGCAGACTCTTGAGAATCGCGATAACTGAAATGTTCATCAAACTTTTAGAAAATTTCCCCGTCGCTCCCAGCTTATGCCTCGAGTTGTCATTTGCTACCCATTTTCGCAAGCTTACGCTCCCTCCACGTGATACGATAAATTGTGATCATGTTGTAATATGAGGAATCACATGGAAGACTTTTGGAAATTACCCTTCTCAGGTGCCATACACTACACCTATCAGCGTACTGTAATAGACCATCGATAACTCAAAAATCCAGGGCTAACTCGTTTTTATACCTGGGTTGCGCTGAGGCTAGAGACATTGAGCTAGCAAACTTCTGCTCAGATTTCAAGTTCAGTAAAGAGAGTGAGGCTAGATTTTGTAAGCCCCGGGTGTGCTTTTGTGGGAACGGAATAAAAGCTTGTGAGGCCTCGGAATAGACTCACATGCTCCGACTCCGTTCCGCTTTTTGAAAATGTGGACGATTAAACATTAGCATCTGAAAGATTTGCTTCAACAACTTTTAGTCACACTTTGCAGATGCAGAAGCCTGATCCGATCTTCCAAATGTCTACACATTGGACTGAACAGAGTAAAATATTTTTGGTTCTTTGAATTTTCGCAAATCCAGGGATCATTTCTACTTCTTACACGCTTGAGTCTTACTGTACAATTGAAGGAGTGGCTTCCTTATCGATGTTCATTGCTCCTCTAAGCGATTGAAGGCGAACGAATTTTTGCGGTAAAGTGGTGTTTCCAAGCCATCAATTTCTTTTGTTTTTGCGATGCTCTGTTTTATCGCCAAGTAACGAAATCGTTTCTACTGATTATTTAATTTCCATGTATCAGGCGTGCTGAATTGCAGGTTATGGCGCTTATCCAGATCGTTGTGTTGGCGTTTGTTATGTGCGTTGTCGGCGCGAATTCGCTACGCGCTAAGCGACAATTGAGTCCAGCAGTGCGACTTGAAACTGAGCTGCATCCTCTAGTCATGGGCATGTACGGATTTGGACCAGAGGTTAGCGAAAAGCAATTTAACTTGCTCAGGAAGCGATATGTACGCGATGAAACCATTGCCAGTGTGTTTAGAATAACGCCTACAAACGATCGCAAGTGAATCTGAAAGCGCCACATTTCGCCGTCGTTTGATGTCGAAGAAGACGTTGGCAATATGCGTGCGCTCATGGACATCGGCAAGCGATCCAGGTCAGCGTTGCCGACGACGTCGGTCGACAGATGCAGGTGAGGGATACTATCTGATTTCTCACTTCAAGAGTGTTCAAAAATACTCTACACTGTCCCTATCCCAGTGTGCTTAAAAGGTTTGACCTACGACAGCTTTTGGGTTCCTAGTTCTGGCAAGGATCTGGCAATCCGCAACCTTACCGAAGGTATCAGATCCCATAGTTGTCACTCTAACCTGAAGGCGGCTTCTAGTGGAAGACGATACTTATATGAGAAAGTAATGGTACCGAGCGGTGCGCCCATAAAAAAGTAGGAGAAACAGTAAGCAACTTCGAGAACGAGTTTTCTTTTGTGGCAGCGGGCGAGGCGTAAGATGTTCGTCCCACCAAGAATCGTGAGCCAGGTGCAGAATTTTGATGAAAAAAGTTCACTGCATTAAGAGATGGTCAAGGCCGGTTATACGCAGTGGTTCCGCTTGTATGTCTGAAGCGTCGCATCTACAAAACGATAAATTGAAGTAGCTGAGCAGCCCTTCCTTTGCCAATTTGCCTAATCTCTTTGACAACAGTTTAATAGGGAACCGCAGTCAAAAGTTGAGTCGTACGATGAGCGGCCGAAATGTTAAGTAAGGGCGCCCATGGGCTCCACATATCATTTTCTTCAAGGTCTGGGTCCATACACTATTATGTTCTTCAGTGAAGCTCTAATGCCCTGCGCACCATGGAATGTTTTGTCGCTTCTTGCCATTCTTCTTTTCTTTCATTCTTGAGATGAAAGGCAAGCACTTTACTCAATTTTGGATCCGTTGACTCACTCCATTTAAACTCCGTTTTGGAAGTTAAGCTAATATAAAACTTATACTTAATATGTAACTTTTATGACTAAACTTTAACACCAATACATATGACTCTATGACTGAAAGCTTGCCAATGAGGGTCGGTGAGGTCCCTACGTAGTTTCTCAAAGCACACCGTGGACGAGAAATTAGCGTGCGTCATAAACACCGTCCTAACCTCTCAGTTTTTGTCCACTGAAACTCAAAGATTTGAATACATAGGCTCTGAATCAGCTTCTATTGAGTCGATGGGCGGTGGGCGCTAGAGCTTCTCTCTGGTGAGAGCGACGGAACATTTTTACAGCAACTTAGGTCACTTAATGGGTCTTATTAGGAATCCACCTTCCGGACTTTTCGCTGGCAGCTTTTGAGAAATTTGTAAATATGAAAAATACCGTGTAAGACTTCCCCGCTTGCCCTGAAAAGTGAATGATTTGGAGCAGTAATAAGGTGCTTTGGAACGAAACGCTGTTGAATTTTTATAGTTTGACGAAGTCATGGCCAATCAGTGCGAAGTTCTATCATGAAGAGGTCTTGAAGAGAGCTCTGGTGCTCTGGAAGCAGAGTTACAGCAATTTTGTCTTTCCTTGAACAAAAAATCAAGTCAGGAAATTTTTCATGGCGCACATAATTTTTTGCCACTCTGTACAAGTCTGGAAGGCTCAGTTTTGTTTGCTGAGTGTTTCTCGCTATTTTCACTCACCTTTATTATAGCAAATATTACTATGAAAGGACAAACTAACTACAGAGAAGGTTATGGATGCTGTGAAATCGTTTGCAATGACATTTATTACGACAGTTATTAATAGTTATGATGTTGTGCATAGCAAAGCTAGTATGCAGTCAGCAGCCGAATTAATTTCTTGGAAAATTGGGAAATAATAAGAGTACTTTCGGTGGAAAAGTGTTTTTTAAAGACGCCTAAGAATTTCGGAGGGAATACAGTAATGCTGAAGCGACAAAATCATGCACCGTTCCCCAATTACAACAAACTTCCTGTCGAGTGTGAAATTCACAGAATCAAGGAAGCGAACCAGCAGTTGCGCGTCAGTGTCAGCTGAAGTCAATTGTCATCAAACCAGAAAAAAACGGAGCTGACCCAGAAAAAAAAAAAAAAAAAAAAAAGACAAATGGTGGTTATCTGGGATTGTAATTTTAAATATGTAGACCTCCTCGAATGTTTCCATAGAGTCCTTGCCACCAAATCGGTTCCTATTGTTCAGAGCATTTGAAGGCAAAGTTCGGGATTTCTGGCGAAATTTAGGTTTTCCCCGTCAAATATGCAGCAGTACGCAAGGGCAGACCATGTGCAGAAGTGGCGGGGCGATTTGACAAGGTTTAGGCGCTAGGAGCCTAGGTTGGAGCATTGGCGCCGCCCCAACCCCATTGAGCCCGCCCACTGTTCCATGCGACCTTCCAAAAACCACATGGAACACTAGATGTTAAGTTGTTATTTGGAAGGTCGTAGAGGAATATTTAGCGAATTTCAACTGCGAAAACCAACATCAAAGCCTAAGACCATTATCGAGAACCTAGTCATTCATTCTAGTGAAATCAAATTTTTGAGATAGGAAAAAACAAAAAAAGCACAGGTAAATAGAAAAAATAGCGAAATTAGAAGCAATCAGTTTTCATTGCTGACTTTTTGTAGCCGTGTCGGTTGCTGGCATAAAGCCAACAGTTGCTGTAGACACGTCCAGACACGTAATTCTCCCAGCCCTGGCTTCTAAGCGACTAACGAAGAGAAATTTCTTATTTTGGACTTTTTTGGGAGTACTTCCTGCTTTTTTCTTAGCTTCGATTCACTTAGCACCCAGTACTTCATACTTGAACAGGTAAGTCCCTCGTTTTATCCCGGAGTTTGCCTTTAAGCGCCCACACTCAGTATAGTATTCTTCCCAAATGTCACAAAGCAAACCATCCTTTCACTTCTTCACCACAAAAT